TTGTTTAGGAAATGAATAGGATGGCATATCACGTAGAATTACCCATTTCTTCTTCCACACCCCGAAAGTTCTTTCAATAACCCCCCGTAAAGCGAGGTGTCGTTTGTTAAACATTTCTTTTCTACCACGAATATTGTCACTTGCTTGCTCAAAATCAGGAATATGGTATCTTGTGTCTGGATATGGCTTCAGGTAGCCTCTTAACATCGGATATCCAGCGTCTACCAAATAATATTTTCCTGTTATTAAAGACAATACTAATTAAAAATAATTAATGTAATTATCGAGAGGTTTTAATTAAGATGAACAATCCTGGAGGTGTGTGAGGGAAACACTGTGTTCTATTCCTAGTTGCATAGGAGAAAAGATGACTATCATGCAAACTTCCTTCCCACCCCGCCATTACAAATGTGAAGCACATGTTGAAGTCACACACTGTCATGACATTTTGGGTGGTTGTACCACTCCGACCAATATACGCGATCCTCTCGTGACTTGGTAGTCTGGCATCTACATGAGTGTCATCAATTGCTCCAATACAATTATGTTGATCATAGTTAGCAACTTAAGAGGTCATTAAGCTAAAGTAACAAAGTAATAATACTTACTTTGAAATACGACATGTAACGAGAATCATTTGCAATTTGTTCAAGAATAGTTGCGAACGATGTATCCGTTGGCTTAATGATCTGTGTTGTTAAGCTCACGAGTGCTTGTAAGCCTTTAGAAAAGTATCGACTAATGGTTTATGTTGAATGTTGAAATCGCTCCATAGCTCCTCTAACTAATTCATTCTGTGAGAGCATGTATAATGTTATTGCCAACATCTCTCTCGTTGTCGTTCAAAAAGAACCTTGTAGACCATGGTTCCGACATAACTCATGTAGCAGATCGATAAAAATGGGCGCAATCATTCTAAAAATATTACTGAACCTTATCGGATGTCCAGCAAGCATCTCACCCACCCATTTGTCCTCAATATAAGAGGACGTCATGCGTGGTATCCGTCTATAACTGGAGCGGTAGTATTCCAGCAATAATATCGCCATAGCAACAACCCATGTCATTCTTTTACGGCGATCTTGCAATGGGTGCATCCTGAAATGATAAATACATTAGGATGAAAGAAAATATGGAGAGTATGGAGAGGAAAATTGGAATAGTGAAAACATCAAGCATTACTTAGCATCATAAAATAAGTGACATAACATAAAATA